CCTGATACGAAGACAACAATATGCAATGTATTAATTATTGTAATCATCATACTAGCCTATTTTGAAACTGTTTCACTGCTATTTTATCTTCTCATAAAGATGAATAAAAAATAAAATATTTTTTTAAAGTAACAGGGCTGGCCAGATAGCTCAGTGGACTAAAGCATCTGCTTAGGCAGAGTGCAGCATCCAGTTTGATCCTGGAGTGCCTTACTGGCCTGGGCCATGCTGAGACTGATTGAGACTGGGCGTGGTGGCACACTCCTGTAATCCGAGCACTTGGGAGGTTGAAAACAGGATCACTATGAGTTCCATCTAGGAGTACAGGGTGAGACCCTGTATACCCTGTAGAGCCTGTACCAAATACATAAAAAAAGTTTTAATAAAAAGTAAAAGGGTTTTGTATATAGCTTATTGTGAAGGCTCTGGGTTCAATTTTGAGTACTTCAAAAAAGAAAGAGCAAAAAAATGGGGATTAAGGAGGGAGGGATGGAAAGAGGAAGAGAAGGGGAAAGAAGGACAGTGAAGGGAAGAAAAGGGAGGAGAGGGGAAGGGGAGGGAAGGGAGGAAAAGGAGAGGGGAGGGAGGGGAGGAAGGATAAGGGAAGAGAAAGGAAGGAGAAAGGAAAGAGAGGAAGGGGAGGAGAGGGAAGGGGAAGGCGAAGGGGAAAGGGAAGGGGAAGGAAAGAGTTCAAGGATATCAGCTCAGTTTAGACTGAAGGGTACCAGAGAAAGGTACCTGATATTTAACTGCTGCCTTCAAACCTCTCCCTGTAGAGAAAAATGTCTTGCCCTTCTTTCACAGCACTTTCCTGGCTTTCTTAGCGTCTCTGCAAGCAAAACACCACGCTCTCACCTGTAGAAGCCTCCTGCTATCCAGACCCTCCCATACCCCACCAACCCTGTAGCAACCACCGGTGCCCACTGCTTACTGCAGCTGCAGCCTCCATGGCCCTTCCTTCTGAGGCAGCCACCTTTGACAAGTATCTAGAGGTTTTATTTTATCCTCTGCTAGATTCAGGCAGTCTAGGGCACTCTCTGAACCATGAAGAAAGGGAAAGAGGTCAGGAAGGTCCGGACTTCATCTCTCGCTGCTTCTAACAGCCTGACAGTCTCCCAAGTGACTGTGCAATCATCATGGAGCCTGAACCCACTGCTGCCCAACAGTGCATGCCGCCCAGGATTCTGCGCCATGGCCAACACGAGGCTGGGAATTAATAACTGTGAGTGATTATCATGGAAACTGTCTCCAGGAAAAATGACCAGGTTCTTACCATTCAACCTTGGGAAGATAAAATCAGGACTAGCAGAGGAAAAAAAGAAGAAGAAGACAAATGATCTAAAGAGTAAGTGCAGGATCGGAAACCAAAGGGCATCTTGGGACCTGAAGATACACCTGCTTCATGTCCCCAGCCTCAGAGACAGGAGATGGGAATGAAGATGGGAACTGGCACCAACTCAGCACCCTGTGCTCAGCTTGTACTATGCTCAACACCTCCAGGCCTTTGCTCCTGGTCATCATTGGCTTGGGCCCTATTTATGTCTCTGCTCTGACCCCCTCTGTGTGGCCTGTTTGGACCCTTCTTGCCTGTCTGGCTACAGCTTCCCTTCTGCTTTCTCCACCCAACACCCCATTGGCCCCACCCCTTGCCCTGCTGGGAGACTCCAGAGAAACAGAAACCTCCTCACGTTTGCTCTATGTAAAATCATCAGTGAATAAGAATGCCAAAATATGTCATTGTTCAGGTTGAGTAATGGGAGCACGCTGGGTGTTTATTTATTTGTGCTCCTTAGACTAATGCACCTTTGAAATTGTTCATAACAAAACAGATCTTCCACAGCCCTCCAAGGATTTCAGCCTGAAGCCCAAAGTCTCCAGATTGGCACTGGAGCCCTCTCAGCATCTGTCCCTGCACAGCAGACTGCAATCATTCTTATCTTCCCAGCCTAGGCCTGCAGCAAGCTTCTGAGCCTCTCTCTGCGACCTTACCTCCTCACAGAACGCCTTTCTCCCACTCTCCTCTCAGCGCTTGGAAACCCAAAGTAAATGATCCCTGATCTGGGACACCTGCCCAGACCCTTCCCTGTGCTGGGGTATAGGGTGCAGCTGGGAAGGGGCCACGTTGAGCCCTGGTGCCTTCCCAGGCCTGATATAGGACAAGCACCCAATCCAAACGGGAGGGAGAACAAATGCTTAGTGCACTCTTTATTTGAACTTGGACAAGGAGGGTAATCTCTCTTCGCTTCTGCTTCTGACTCTATAAAATGAAGATATTAGCAATATTTCTAAAGCTGGGGAAGCAGTAACCATTCCGTTGTATCCTCTATGTAAATAGCTGAGAGGGAAAGACAGACAGACAGACAGACAGACAGACAGACAGACAGAGAGTGTTAAAGACAGGAAGGCTTCAATCAAATCATACCATGGAGAGAATAACGCAGCCTGTCATCTATGAAATGCTCCCAAAACCTACACAAAAGACTCTGCTGTTTAACTCTTCCTGGGTGCTGAAGAAATTTCTGAAAAATCGTTGATGCTAAAGTGACGATTCCTCCTTTGCGCTCAGGGACAATTCTTACTTCCAGGGGTCTTAGAGGTGAGGACCAGAGCCCAAACCCTCTCTCGGAAAGGCCTGTGCAGCTCTGGGGCCACAGCCTGGCCCCAAATCCTGGGGCTAGGAAAGCTCGGGCTTTGCTCAAAAATCAGCCCGAGTGACAATCCCCACCCTGTGAAGTCTTGTGGCGCCAGGAGTGGGTCGCAAGGCGAGAACATCGGACGAACTCGGTTGCAGTGCCACCAGCGCCGCTGCCGCCCCCGCCAGCCCCGCTTCTCTGGGCGCCTGTGGCCTCGTGCGTCACCGGCGCGGGCGGGGGCCGAGGGGGGGCCCCCGCAAGGTGAGGGCACCGCGCCGCCTTAAGACGCCGCGCGCCCCCGCCGCCGCTCAGAGCTCGCAGCGCGGCGCGCAGGTCGGACGGGCGGGCACAGGTACTGTGTCCCGCTCTACGATCCGGCCGCCCGGTGCGAGGGAGCTCGAAGTCGCAGGCGCCAGAGCTCAGGACCGGCGGACGAGCCCCGAGGGACGGGGAGCCTGCAGCGCGACGCCGCCCGCAGCAACAGGTAAGTGAGAAGCTCGGCTCGGCCCGGCTCCAGCCCCGTGGCCCCGAGCACAACCAGCCCCGAGGTCCAGCTTCGAGGACAGCCGGCCTGTGGCAGCCCGACGGTGCGACTGCGCTTGGCGGCCTGGCCCGCCTGCCCTCCGCCTGGCTGGGTGGCCCCTTCTCCCGGTCCCTTGCACTTTCCCGTGCGCCCCACCAGTCCCCTGCGTTTTCCCCCATCCTTCTTCTTTCTCTCTCTGCTCCCCACCCGCTTTTCTCATTCTTTCTCGCTTTTCAAGTCTCTCCTCCTCGGTCTCGGTCCCGCGAGGGTCTCCAGGTCTTTGTCGCATGGCCCACTCTCTTCCTATCTCCCGGTAGCGCTCACTCTCTCGCTTCTGTTGATTCTTCTTTCACCCGACTCTCTCCCTCTCTGTCTCTCACTTTCTCTAGTCTTTCTTTCTCCGTCTCTCACTCCCCTTTGTCCCTGCGTTGTCCTCCCCCTCAAAGAATCCCCGCCACCGGTGCCCGCTCTTCCTCTCGCATCTCCCCTGTCCCCAGCCCCACGCCGCAGCAGACTTGGAGTGGGGTGCGAGGATGCTGAGTCGGGGGGGTAGGCATCCGCCTGCACCCACTCCGTGTCAGCTGCCAAGAACCTAGACGCTGAATTCGCCAGAGAGCCCACGGTGGCCACGGAGGCTGCTGGTTTCTATGGCAAAAATAAAGTTCACGGAACACAGAGATCCGAAGGGACAGACCCAACCCGAGAAAACCCGAGGTGAGGGGTTGTGGGAGAAGGATAGAGAGATGCAAGAGGCGTGCACATGCTCAAAGATGGATGGTGCCGTGTTTCAAGTGTCCCGAGGTGGGCAGAGCGAGAGACAGGAAAACTAGAAGTAAGAGCGTGCACGTGCCTAAGAGATACCTTCAGCAGCAGAGAGCCAGAGACAGGTACGACCTAGCTAGCGAGCATAGCGTCCTGGAGACCTGGGAGAAAGAGGCGAAGCCAAAGCGGTATAGCCAGAACTTAAGCACCTGGGCAGGAAAAGCACAAGAGGAGACAGGGGAAGCAGGGGCAGAGAGATGTGTACACATGAGACCCGACAATGACCCAGACACTCGCAGAGACACTCATACAGCCAGTGATACCCAACAGGTTGCTAGGGACTCCCAGAGATGGACCACTCTCAGGGAAATCCACTGAGATAGGAATGCAAAAGAGAGAAACTGCTTGAGGGGGGAGCCCTGGGGAGCAACATAAACTGCACGACGCAGTCACACACCAAGAGACTTGGAGGAAAACAGGGGAGAAGGCACAGCTCCTGGTTCCAGAGAAAGTGCGCTGGTGGAAAAGAGAAACTGGAGGGGGAGTAACCGGCAAGGGGACAGCTACCCACTGAAGGAGGATGGGGTGACGGGGAGACAGAGACGGGGTCCTAGAAGTAGGACATGCCCTTGCGAGACACAGAAGAGATGGAGATCTATGCGAGTAAACAGGTGGGTACAGAGTGCATACGCACACATGTGCAGTGGCAGAGCGAGCCAAAGACACCAAAACTCTAACTGGAGACACGGAGTAAGAGATGCCTTAAGTGGGAGTACACAGTGGCAGGAGACACAGACAGGAGGAAATCAGACCTGAGCAGAGAAAGACAGAAACTTGGAGAGACAGACATAGAGCCAGAAAACACGCACCAGCGGGGCTGCGACTGCGCAGGGGTACAAGGGAGGTGTCCTGCAGCAGCGCTGCTGGGCGCCTCCCAGGCTTCTCTTCCAGCCGAGGGACTAACTCCGCCCACGTGTCTCTTTCGTCCCCAGCATAGACACTGTGCGCGGTCTGTGCACCCCTTCGCTGCCCGCCGGTGCCCGCACTGAGTCGGCCCCGTCTCTCTTTCACCCGCCATCGTCATGACACCCACCTGCAACAACGACACGCAGGAAAACACCACCACGCAGGCTTGCACACCCCTTTCCAAAATGCCTATCAGCCTGGCTCACGGCATCATCCGCTCCACTGTCCTGCTCATCTTCCTAACCATCTCCTTCTTCGGCAACATAATCCTGGTGCTTGTGTTGCAGCGCAAGCCGCAGCTGCTGCAGGTGACCAATCGATTCATCTTTAACCTCCTCGTCACCGACCTGCTGCAGATTGCTCTTGTGGCCCCCTGGGTGGTGGCCACCTCTGTGCCTCTCTTCTGGCCCCTCAACAGCCACTTCTGCACGGCCCTGGTTAGCCTCACTCACCTGTTTGCCTTTGCCAGTGTCAACACCATAATTGTGGTGTCCATAGATCGCTACCTGTCCATCATTCACCCTCTCTCCTACCCAAACAAGATGACCAACCGCCGTGGTTACATGCTCCTGTATGGCACCTGGATTGTGGCCATCTTGCAGAGCACACCCCCACTCTATGGCTGGGGCCAAGCTGGCTTCGATGAGCGCAATGCCCTCTGCTCCATGATCTGGGGGTCCAGCCCTAGCTACACGGTTCTCAGCGTCGTGTCCTTCATTGTCATCCCCCTGACCGTCATGATTGCCTGCTACTCTGTGGTGTTCGGAGCAGCCCGGCAGCAGCACGCCCTGCTGTACCACGGCAAGAGCCGCAGCCTGAGGGTGCGGGTGAAGGACCGTGTGAAGAACGAGAATGAAGAGGAAGCAGAGAGGGTTGAGTTCCATGATGAGAGCGAGTTCAATGGCCAGGATGAAGGCGAGGTCAAGGCCAAGGAGAGCAGCTCAGAGGCGGAAGAGGAAACCATGAAGAACGGCAAGAAGGGGAAGAGGGGAGGAGGCGTGCAGCTGAGTGAGTGTATCGAAGAGGCCAGTGGCAGCCAGGTCGGTGTTAGCTCAAAGGCAGACAAGGGCCAGGCAGAGGTACATCAGTGCAACATCGATGTGGGTGAAGATGACATAGAATTTGGTGAGGATGACATCAATTTCAGTGAGGGTGATGTCGAAGCAGTGCGCATCCCAGAAAGCCTCCCCTCAAGCCGTCGGAACAGCAACAGCCACCCTCCTCTGCCCAGGTGCTATGAGTGCAAGGCTGCTAGAGTGATCTTCCTCATCATTTTCTCCTATGTGCTGTCCCTGGGGCCCTACTGCTTCCTAGCAGTCCTGGCCGTGTGGGTGGATGTCCAAACCAAGGTGCCCCAGTGGGTGATCACTATAATAATCTGGCTTTTCTTCCTGCAGTGCTGTATTCACCCCTATATCTATGGGTACATGCACAAGACCATCAAGAAGGAAATCCACAGTGTGCTGAAGAAGCTGTTCTGCAAGAAAAAGCTTTCAAGAGGTGAAGATAGCCACCCACATGTGCCCAGAAGTGAAGCTGGTTCAGAGAGAGGAACTGAAGGCAAGATTGTTCCCTCTCACAATTCCGCTACTTCAGCTTAAAGTTAGTGCTAAGGCAAACCTTGCACTGTCCACAAGACAGAAAACAAGAGCAGCTTTTTTTTCAGTGGACCACCCACACTCCCATTAATGCTGACCCACACCATTTCAGGCAAAGTTGTTGCACACGAATCCCTTTCCACCACAAGGTAGATAAATACTTGGAAGACTTAGGAACTGGGTTCTTCGCTTAAAGGTGTGCCCCTCAAAGCATGAACTGGAGGATTCTGACTGAAAATTTTCCCCCAGAAAGTTATTTGGCTCTAAATTTCTTAAAGCAACAAGGGTTATCTATTTTGGACCCATAGTTGACAATCTGCTTTTCTCCCCAGAGCTAGAACATGACACTTTAGTTCTGATGGAAAGGGAAGATGATGTTTGTGGAATTAAAAGACTATTTGGACCTCAGGTCAGGAGCTTATGAGCCAGGGCTTAGTTTATGTTCAAGTGAAAGAAACCCAGTGGACCCAATCATCCACATAGCTCAAGAGGCAGACCCTAATGGACTGATGAGTGCATGAGCCAAATTGTGAACTGAAGAGCCAGACAGTCTAGTGCAAAGACTATCATGAAAACTACAATAAAAGGCCTTCTGTAGTTAGAATACCAAGAACAAGAACATTTCTAGAACCTGTATGAAATGGGAAGCTAGTCCAAAGGGAGAGATTGTGAACACATCTTTGTGGCTAACCAGTTGGCTTTTTTCCCTCAAAAATGCTAGGTTATACATGGGCGAGGACTGAGCTCTTACCATGGAAGTGGAAAATTATCAGCGGACTCTAAAATAATTTCTGTCTCCTATTTGAATAATAGTGAAATGGAAATCATGCAACTATTTTCCAATTTCCCCCTCGTGACTGAATCAGTATGCTCATAAGAATGCTCCAGATCTCTTCCAATCACTTGCTTTACTCTGTTTTATTTCAGGTTAAACTTTTGATCAGACAGTATTTCCAGGGGGAAAAAATGAACTAGGAGTGGTCAAAGTTCTGAAAAACTCACACTGCCAATCAGGAGACTCTCTTTTGTGTTCCTGAACTCCTAGGCGAGAAATAGGGTATCCACATGGGACAAGTAAGGCAGGATGAACATTTTCTTTCCTCTACCAATACCCATGTCTTTTTGGCCCGTGGCTCTTCCTAAAGCTTTTAAGCTCTCTTCAGATATGGGGGAGAATATAAGACAACGAGGAATAACAGGATGATTTTATAATACCTGACAAATACTGACCTTTCCTAAATAATCCAAAAATCAAAGCATTCAGGTCAGACATATCTTAATTATTGCTGATGAAATGTATCCCTTTGGGAAACTCTTTATAAATATCTAAATTATCCCCAGAGTAAACACAGAAGAGTATTTTTCACATTTCAAACCTGAAACCACTTTGGGCAATGATATGCCTATTTCAGGGGGTACAGACCAAATAAGTGGAGCCAAAGCATGATTAAGTCACTGGTTTTGTTCCTCCTGAAATCCAAATTAAAGCAATTCTACAGCCATGAAGAAATCCACTGTTCATGTGGGTGGAGGGAGAGAACAGAGTATTTAGTTGAACAAAATAGTTAACCAGCTGGTTTTGTATAAATATGGCTATATTCAGAGTTTAGCCTCATTCTAATGTGATTGCTATATCTTTATGAAGACTCAAATTTTCATTTATATGAATGTCCAGATCATATATATATATTTCTTTTTATCGCTTCCTCTTCACAGATTCCAACATGAGTTTCTCAAGGGGGAGAGATAAACAGCAGTATATTTGGGCTATGAATATGGGAACTTGGGATTGTCATATTCAGGATGTAGGAAAAGAAGGGGCATAGAACCAAGTAATATCCAGCTGAGCTGTCAAATCAGGATGACCATGGAAATTCTGTTCATTCCAACTCCATGAATTTGGACAGGGTAGTAACTCAAACAAGGCATGTGGGCGGAAGTTCAGTCTGACAAATCATTTATTTTTCTACCAAAATTTGTGAAGCAAGTGAATAGTCATAAATTTATTATACCAATTTATTGCTGGACTCTTAAAATGACCTGTCCTTAAGGGGATACCCAGGTGCGGAAACAGCTTGTGTGATCAGTCCTCTTGTGGAGGGAGGGGTACTGCCTTGCAAGACTATAATGGCCAAAGGGGTTCAAGATAGCTTTACTCTGTCCTTTTAGTGGAAATGGCTACTGGGCAGCAAAAAGAACTTCAACTGTAAGTGTTTCCAACATTTTGTTGAAACTGAACTTGTTGTTTTATTTTTAAAGCTCAGCCCTTTCAAAGTCTATCAGAGAAAATTGTTTGCCAAAATCCCCAATCCGAATGGAAGCAGAGCCTGTACGGTGTGGTAAGTCCATCTAACAGCGCACATAACATTCTCTAGGGTGCCGAGACTCACTAATTCCTTCTAAAGTTGCCCTTTTACTTATTTTATTCTCTGTCCTTTCTTTTGGCAAATTGGATTCCTTAAAGGTGAAGACCTTTTGAAAACACGATGCCCGGAAAAAAGGACTTTTAAACTAAGGGCATTTGGCTTTGATGACCTTTTCTTCCTAATGAACAGTAGGGCCTCTGGTTAGCTTGAAGATAGCAGCTGCTTCAACTTTTTTTGCTATTTGGAATAAAGTACTATCAACTTAATGAGGTTTTACTGCACATAGTGTTTTTCCATTTGAAAATCTGAAAGCACACAAAAACATCATTAGCTTCATAGGTCCTCATGTGCAATCGTTTTCCCTAAATATTTTTAAAGGATAGATTCTTTTGCCAAGGCCACTTCATATGTGCAGTAAAAATTCCCATTAAAGTACAGGGGCCAGACAAACCAGACTTTGAAATGATGTGATTTTAAATGGAATGATTTCCTTACTTAAGAGTAGCAGAGCATCTAGTTTGCCAAGGAGTCGCAGGTGCTTTGACTAACAAGGAGCTTGGGTAAGCAGTAGCAAGGAGCAAGCCGTGGGCTTCAGTGACTTTGGTGATGTGAGAGCCCTTCTTCTCTAGGCCACCACAAATTCCAGCTGCTGCCACGTCCTGGGTGCTGCCAGCTCCCTGCCGACCTGCCCATTGCCTTTACCTACTCACCCCCTGCCCCTTGCTATGCTGGCCATTCAGGAATGCCTGTACCTGAAGCTCTTCATGCTCACCTACTCCCCATCCATCCCTTCCAAACCCAGAGCTATGAGATTCACAGGGACCTGGGGCCCAGGAAAGCAGGAAAAGCTGAAGCGTAGGTGTGACCAGACATTCAAGGTACTTTTCTATCTGCCCAACTCCAATCCAATTTAGCGATGACTCCATACCTGCTTCAAATTCAACAGGTAAGGAAAAGTGCCATTTCATAATTTAGGAGGAGGTAGGCACCTCATTTCTAAAAAGCATTCTTTTCCACACATTATGAAACCACATTCAATCCCATAGATACCATGTAACCATTTCAGCAAAAACACAAAAATCTTTACCTATAAAATTATAAGGTGCCTAACATTGCCTTATTTTGTACATAATTAGCCAATCAAACTAAGTAAAATTACTTCATAAGAATTTTTCATACTACCTGAGAAAAACTTACATGACAAAATAGGCTTTCATTCTTAGAATTAGCCAAAAATATCTTAAGTGTCTGAAACACAACATTCAGAGGAGAAAAATGTAAGCATCCTCTGATAATTTGAAATCTCTAAGATAAAACACTTGGGATCGTAGAGTGAAGCAGAATAACAATTTAACCTACTGAGCTATAAATTTTCTCTCTCCCCTACACTCTCACATATTTTGAGGGGGAAAAGTCCACTTCATAATGTCTTTTCTGCTGTATTTTTCTTTTTTTTATTTATTTTTTTTTTCTGCTGTATTTTTCGTGAAGACAAACCCCAGGTTGTCAGAAGAGTTTGTCATTTGCTTCTTCAAGCAAAATGTCTTTTCCTTCTAAAGCAAAGGATTAAAAGACCAGTTGGCTGCTAGCCAAGGGGCAAGATAAGGAGAGGAAGTCTGGTCAGTCATGGCTTTAACTGTCTTCCTCCTTATCTGTCTTAGTTTCTAGGGGTTGGACTGGTGCTCTTGACAGCTCAAAGCACCTCCAAGCTTAGGGATGAAGGAACAGAAAAAGCAGGAAAAGCAGCCCATGATCTAAAACTCGCATGGAAGGTGAACATTTGCCATACATTCTTTCCAATCCTATACAGTCTCTGGCAGATGCCCAGCTTGCTTACAGCACGTTTCTGCTGTAAGCAACAAAACTGGCTGAAGAAATAGGACAGACAAAATCCACTGAACTTGGCCCCTGACTGCTACATCACTGGCCAGTTCACTGCTCTTTGACAAGTAGGATAACAATCCTCAAGGCAATTGAAGGTTGCCGACCAGAGTTAGGTATGTCCATCATTGCTTCTCCAAGCCTCCATATGTCAGAGTATACACACCAAGGGGAAACCACAGTAACTTGGACACTCATAGGAGGTTTGCTTTGTAGGGATTGATTCCTGTGTCTAAAACATAGTCAAAAACAAGATTGGTCTTAGTTCGGTGCTTCAAACATGAGTGGCTTTCCCCCTCTTCATCTGCGTTACAACTTCTAACGTTAAAAGTTTGGTATTTTTGTCCTGTTTCAGTGATGTGAAACTTTTGTAGTAATTCTTGTGAATGTGAGCTCTACCTGTATATAAAGTGTAAATGTTCTTGGAGATAAGGTGCTAGGTATTAGATTGTGTGTGTTCGTAGATAACGTTATTCTAAAGTATTAGATGTACATGTAAAGTTAGTTAATTAAATGCATGCAGATTCCATGTGAGACCAAAACCTTGGTCAGTTTCTGAAATAGAACATAGTACATTTGTATTTAAAAACTTTTTTTTCAAGTGTGTACTACAAGATATGTAAGATGGCTCGAAGGTGAGCTAGCAGGAAGTGGTGCCTTTCATTCCTTAAATCCCTGATACAGCCTATTATAGGCAGGAGCTTATTCTGATGTGACTGGTCATAAATATGAACCAACCATCTTGGCTGAAGTCCT